CACATGTTCCGCTTCTGTCCTGGCGACCGGCGAGGCTTCGGAACTTCTGGCATCTTGCATCGTCATGTGAGTCTTGCGACGATCTGCGTCCGTCGGTCTACGACGTCCGATGTGCGGTGTTTTGCGACATTCGACGAGAGGGTGGACCAACGGGAGGACCGTTTTCCAGCGGTCAGCGAAACGAGCTCTTCGTTTTTCACGATTCCTTGGGACGATCCCGTCCTTACTCCTTCCGTTTAGATGTGTCCCACGTTCAAGGATTTTCCTTTCCTGCGCACATGCCTTGACTATGTACTCCATGTCAAACCCTCACTCCGTGCACCTAGGGATTTTTTTCAAAACATTTTTCATTGATCAAGAGCTTCTATAATCCCCCGTTTCATGGTAGTCCCTACATAATTGTCAAAAAAACGTCACATTAACGTGTCCCGTGCAACCAGCGCTAGTAGGAAAGAGCACTTGAGTCCAATTTTTTTCCACCACAAGATTGCATCGATCTTGGCGAAGTGCAAAAAGTCCAGGTGTCCCGTGCAACCAGCGCTAGTAGGAAAGAGCACTTGAGTCCAATTCCTTTCCACCACAAGATTGCATCGATCTTGGCGAAGTGCAAAAAGTCCAGGTATCAAAGTAGATGATGTGTTAGATTCGAACACTCAAGAGCTCGTGTTCTGCAGCCAGCAATAAACATATTTTGGATGCTATTCTTAATCGTGGAAGAGTTAGCATATTAATGTGTACACTTGATACCATACTGCAACCAAAGCAGTGTCGTCGGGGAGTCTAATTCTTCATCAATCTTTGGATCGCAGGATCAAGTACTAGTTCGAGCATTGGTAGCTGACACTCAATTGGTCTTGATATTTTTCCAACTTTGCCATCAATGGTTTTGTGTCATCCTTGGATTTCGGTGTGATGTAACCGATACTCAACAAACCATTAAAGTTATCTTGTCAATGAATCTTGAGAGATTCATAAAACTTTGGTTTATGAAATGGCCAACGTTGCCTATGGTACATTAGATGGGATGTTCATCCCGTGGCGGAAGCAAGGAAGTATTTTATTAACTTCACTTACTTTCATTCAATAGAGCTCAAAGTTACAATCTAACCTTAGTGGTCATGCATGTTTTAAAAACATTTGGAATTCTACATCAGCATATGGAATCAATTAATCATTGTGAACATGAAATTTCACTCGTTCTTGACATCAAGCCTAATGATTTCTTTAGCCTTGTGATTTCACATCCCTATAGGAACTTGAAATTTCTTTAAGTCAGCTCGCAATCAAGATGATAAGCATATCGTCTGGATCATTTAGTGAAGTTTTATCACTTTGAATTTGATGATTGCATCTTGAACATTGCACGAAGTTTTTTCGCTTTGAAATTGATGTCACTTCACTATCAATTAGTGCACGATACATGTTATGACAAATGTGTCATCTATCGTCTAGACTAATATTGAACTTGTTGTTTGGTTTATCTAATAGATGCTATAATGCATGAATCTCATTTCACTAGTATTATTTGTCGTCGCGGTGATAATTTTTGTGTGCACATTTGCTGTTATTAACGATTTCCAAACAAATATCAGTGTGTATCATTGCTCATGCAACCATGAAAGATATTTGAAATTGAGATTGCAGTTGCATAACGTCAAATATCATCTATCTATTGAAATGTAATGCTTTTAACCAAGTTTCCTTTAATCAAATCAACAAAGTAACATCACAACGTTTTGGTGGATATACCGTCGCAAGTAATCGCAATTCTTTCCAAAATTGATTTGACAATTTTGCAAAACTTTTTGGTTGCGACAATCATTTCGTCAGCTATGTCACGAGTAAGGATTGAGCGCAAATAGCCAGGTCAAAAAAAATTTAAAGCAATATTCATTCACTAGATTAAAGTTTACTCCACTCAAAAACAGTCTAATTTGTGTTAATAATTCAATCTACCATGTTTGGTATTATTTTTTTCTTTGTATTGTTATCCAAACATTGTGCATTTTCAAATACAAACCAGATTTTGATAAGGTAGTTTGGAAGAGATTATGGAGCAATGCTTCTTCAAGTGATTCGCAAATGATGCGATGATTGTTCTTCAAATGAAGAACAAGAATGGATATTGCCAAGATACTTGAGTAGATGTTTGAACAAAAAACAAATCAGTAGTATCTTGGTATAGATACAAAGTATGGAAGAATTCAAAAAATTTGCTCCAATTTCTTCGTGTGTAGCTCCGTAAATGATCGGGCAACTGACGATAAACGATGATGGTAGACTTCGTTATCAGAGTCTTCATCCTACGTTAATATCAACATAGTTACTTAGTATAGCCACAAAATTACACTTTCAGCTTGTGACTTGCCAATATAGCCGGTTAACCAACAGCTAGTGGATTAAATTTGATGCCCTAATCAACTTGCCAAAAATTAACCGGCTACGTGATCGCTACAACTGCAGATCTTGATCAAAGTGCAATTGTACGTATTGAAACATTTACCTTAATCTACTCATCATAAGTACCAAGTTTTTGTTTGCTGCTTGCTTGCAACACATTGAAGTAAGCAACATCTATGCTATTTTTATCATTCTTCTAAAAGCAAATAATCATCATAATTTGATTTACAAATTGATTTTTCATGTGCATATAAATTATTTTAAATTATCATTATTATCATACAAGTTGTTAATAAATTGAGATTAGATCTATGCATAACTTTTTGTATGTATACACATTTTATTTAAAAATCAGATGAAAAATTTATTTTCATAAAAATATTAGTTATAGTTAAAATTAATTAAAATTTTATTTTAAAAGACTTACATATTGTTACTTATGTTGGATTTATAAAATTTATAAAATTTTTTGTTAAAAAATCTATATAAAATTTAATTATGAAATTTAATATCATTTTGAAGCTAATAATGATCTAATTTGATTTCAAAAAAAATAATTAAATATTTTTTGAATCATGAATTATGCAAGTAAATTTATTTTTTAAAGTATTAATTTTAGATTCATAATTTTGTATCGTTTTTGTAATTAATCTAACATCACTTTAGGAACCACAAAGTATAATTATGTAGCAATTGTTGATATTAATATATCAAGTAGTTGTAAAAATTATAATGAAAATCATGTGATGGCTTATATCACTTTGATGCAATAGTTACTATCTTAAAAAAAATAATTAAAATTATATTAAATAGCATCACAATATATCATCAGATCAATATATTTTAGAATATGAAATAAGTCTAGCTTCAAAACTAAGCATATATTCTAATGTATTTAAAATAATTATCATAATTAATTAAATATTTGGATGAAAATATTAAATATAATTTTACATATGTTAAAAGCATGCAGTACTCTTAGATAAGTTATGTTTGTTGAATGCATCAAACACACCATGCTAAAATATAATGATCAACATAATATATATCTAATTTGATGAGGTGAAAATTTTCATTTTTGGTGCTAGCAGTATGTTAAACTAATATTTTATAGTTTGCATTGTTATCAATCAATGATAAAAATTAATCAATCAATGCATTTAACTATAGAATATTTAAAACAATCATCTTGCTAAAAATATAAATTCCTAAATTAATTTTATTTTTATACCTTTTAAACACTCTTTGATCCTAAATAATAATAAAAAAGTACAAGCTTGGATTAAATATTATCAAAAAAATTTAGCTTAAATAGCTAGTATAAGTATAGCAATTTCCAATCATAAATATGAAAACACATCAATAATAATTTTAAGAGAAGTTATAAAATTTCTTTAAATAATACATACATTCACAAAGAAAATATCTTAGTCATTTTTGCCAAGTATGATAATTAATATTCAATCAAATGTTGAAATTATTTCAGAATTGAAAAAACATAAAAACTATGATTATTATTTAGTCAAAATTAATCTAATTCAAGTATAAGTATTGTTTCAAATATATTAAGAAATTTTTATGATTTTATAGATAAATTTTTATTGTCCATGGCGAGTTTTATTATGAGATTCACATAGGAATTAATGGTATGTTCATGACAATGTGTTTGACAAACAACATTTTGGAAGTAACATGCATTTTTCTATTGAAATTTGTGAATATTCAATATAATGTTTGATTAAATATTATAAATTCTTTATATGTTTCATGGAAGTCAAATGGAGCATCAACCGGTTTTAGTTTCCAAAAATCGATTATTTGCATAAGATTTCACTCTTTGTTATTTTAGTATTTCATGAAAATGTGAGTTAGATCAAAATAAGTATAGGCGATCTACAGTCACTAGCATCAATCATATCTATATTTTTATAGAGACTGAAATTAAATCTCATTAAAAAAGTTAATTGACTTCATCTATGTTACATCCTCTTATTATATATATACACAGTTTAATAATGTTCGTATACCATTTGGCTTTTGATACTATTGGAATGTATTACTTAGTTTTAATTGTTAATTTCATCTTTTTATTAGATTCTTGTCTCTCTATATAACTTTTCTTTGAATGCATTTTATTGTATAAATTTGACTCAAAGACAGTTGTTGTGAAATTATATCGTTAACTAGAATGTAAGTAACTAGGATGAATCTAAGCAACATCACATAAATTTGATGTTGTGATAAATGTCACATACGATAAAATTGGAACGATACATAGAAGGTTGGGATGACAAACACAAATCGAGAAATCGTATCACCAAAGGGGTACAAGAGTTTTCTCGAACTCTCACGTCGAAAACATCGTGGAAGTCTGCGAAAGCATCGCAGACTTCCAAATCCGTGCAAATGCCAAAGGGCATGTGAAATACGAATCCATGCATTGAACAAGGGATTCCATTTTTTATTCCGTACGAGGAATAGCTCGGCAGAAGTTCACGTGAACTGCGTCGAGGGTTCACTTTTCGGCCTGCACGGAGTGTTCGCGCGGTTATACGAGGAAAGGGCTTGAGCGGGTTTAGGGTTTAAGACAAGGAGCCTGTCTGACTCATCGACGTTGCCGACAGCGACGCTCGCTCACTGCAGGAGTTCGGACGAGCTCCTACTCCGAGTCCTCGATGGTGGGATGGATTCGGAGTCCCTGCTAAATCTTGAATGTCAGATTTGGAGAGTTTTTGGTTTCCAGCCGGCTTTCTTCCGCGGTCGGAATGGGTTGCAAAAATGGCGAGGATTTCTGGAGATAGGATCCACGCTGTGGATTCCCAGCCCGGGATCCTCGTCCGGACAAATTGTGCTGACTAATTGACTAGTGTCTGGCATTTGTGTGCTGATCAACTGCATACAAACATCTCGTCCATGGGCCGGAGAAGCGGGTTTTGTCTCCCGGAATTTCTCGATTTTGTTCTTCACCTCTGTTCTTAGGAGGGAGTAAATTGAACGACTCCGCCACGGGCTCATCTCACAATGTCGGGGCCCGGGGGTATGAAAGTTACTAGCCTGAATGGAGTGAAAGTGTATGCTGTCTCTGGACAGCGGTCGTTCGCAACATGGGTCGCACCCGCGAAGATGCGAGCCTTGCGGAAAGACGACGAGTACATGCGCAGGATAGAGCTTTTGCAGGACTTACAATTCGACACAGCTTCGACGCGCATAAAAGCAACACGAGACGGACAGTATCTGGTGGCATCAGGAATTTACCCTCCGCAAGTGAAGGTTTATGAATTGAAGGAGATGTCCCTCAAGTTCGAACGGCACCTTAATTCCGAAATTGTGGATTTCCAAGTTCTGAGCGAGGACTATTCCAAAATGGCGTTTCTGTGCGCAGATCGCTCTGTCTGCTTGCACGCGAAATTTGGCAGCTATTTCAGCACGCGAATCCCTAGGATGGGCAGAGACTTGTCGTATGATTGTTGGTCATGCGACCTCTTGGTCGCTGCATCATCGCAGGAGATTTATCGTCTGAATTTGGAGCAGGGTCGATTTCTCGCTCCCCTTCAGACCGAGTCCCCCGGAGTGAACGTCTTGGGGCGAAGCCTGGTCCACGGAATGATTGCTGCTGGAGGCGACGACGGTGCCATCGAGTGTTATGATTTACGACAGAAGGCCTCTATCGGTCGCATTGATGCCGCGGCTTCGACTGACAATCCTGACCAGGAGATAACTGCCTTGCGGTTCGATGAAGGCGAAGGAATTCTCCTCGCTGCCGGCACCAGCTCTGGCCAGGTGCTGGTGTACGATCTGCGATCCTCGAAACCCATACACACCAAGGATCACATGTATGGCGCCCCGATAATTGACATCAAATGGCATGAGAGTGTTAGCTCCAAGTCTCGACATCTCATTACGACCGATACTCGAGTTATGCGAATATGGGAACCTCAGACTGGAAAGGCGCTTACGAGTATTGAGTCACCTGCCGGCGAGATCAATGATGTTTGCGTGTACCCCAATAGCGGGCTCATATTCATGGCACTCGATTCTCCTAGAATGTCGTCATATTTCGTGCCTTCACTCGGCCCTGCTCCGAGTTGGTGCTCGTTTCTGGAAAACCTGACAGAAGAGCTGGAGGAGAATCCACAGACCACTATCTATGACGACTTCAAGTTTGTGACGAGGAAGGATTTGGAAGCTCTCAATCTAACGAACCTGCTTGGCACTAATCTGTTGAGAGCCTATATGCACGGCTTTTTTATTGATCACCGGCTCTACAACAAGGCGAAAAGTATGGCTGACCCTTTTGCCTACGAAGAATACAGGAATGAGCGGGTGCTACAAAAGATGGACGCTGAGCGTGCTGCTCGCATCACGATAAAGACCAAACTTCCGAAGGTGAACAAGGAACTAGCCGCCCGGATACTCAAAAAGAGCGAGAAGCTCGGTGAAGATGACCAAGAAGAGGAGACTGGCGAAGCAGGTCGCCGTGCCGCTCGAAAGAAGAGTGGAATCAGCATTCTTAAGGACGACCGGTTTGCTGCCATGTTTGAAGATGAGGTACCTTTCTCCATAAACACTTTCAAATGGGATTCACTGACCTTTCGAATGGCATGAAGCTCGATGCAAGTTTGCTTCAGTAATCGAGATGCTTGTTCGGCCGAATTAGTTGCCGAGGCTCAAGAGCATGCAGGCCAGCGGTTTGAGCCTATGCCTTCCCTGGAGCTTCAGAAAAGAATCTTCTCGGCTCAAGTCCTTGCTGCCCTCATTCTACCAGCCCGGTTTTGGCAATTCATGTTCGGAAGGATATTTTGTACTCCATTACTTGTTATAATGGCCTGTCTGGTCATATGCAAGCAGGCTTTTTAGCGGCTTTCCAAGTTTTTGATCCGACCGGCTTCTAATTTGCTCCACGAACAACCATAGTTTGAAATGTTCGAAGACAGTAGCTGTCATTGCTTGAGTTTCTAGTAAGACGTACTTACGAGTCTAGGACGGCTTCGTACACCGAGTGAATGTCAGGTTATTGCTGAACATGTTTGGACGTTGATCAGAGGAGGATGGTCGTGCAGACAACTTTCTTAGCAGATTGTTCCTCTTGGTTTCTAACCGAGGGTTACCTTTCATGTACAGGCTTACCAAGTGGATGAAGGAACTGCTGAATACAAAGCTCTGCATCCGAACGTCGACAAGAGGAAGCCATTTCTTGTGGACGAGCACTTTGACCTCGTTTCCGATAAGGAGGACGAGGAAAGTGAAGAAGAGGACGACGGTAGTAGCAGCGGTGACTCAATGGATGATGGTGATGATGAAAGGAGAGACAGACCAGAGAAGAAGAAGCCAAAGAAGTCCAAGCAGAAGAAGTTCCCGAAAGCATTGTCCGAGTCAGGACCACGGTTAGTTTATTGTTGAGATGAACTAGGTGGCGTTTAGTGTATGATGCATTGTTTGTTGTCGCATCGTCGTAGTCGAATCATTCTTCGAGCACTCCGTTTGAACTGTCCTATGTTTGCTCTCTTTGGTGTGTGAATTATGGGTTTCTACACCAATTGTATCGATATCGCATGTAGGAGAATTAATGGTTTGCACGTGTTGTACATCTTGACTCTGACCGTAGACTTGTATTGCTGGTCTTGACGGAGGTAGTTTTTCTTATCGAACATGGCTCGTGTGTTTACTAGATTTTATGAGGCCAAGGACGAGGTTCATGCACAAGCGTTCAAAAAGAAAGTTTCCCTGGTTGCCGAGCAAAAGTTACCCTTGGGGGCAAGAGTGGAGGACGCTGAGAAGTCTACATACAGGCATCATCGAAACGGTGCTGAAGTCAAAGGCCTTGGTGGCAGTCGCCAAATTTCCTTCAATCCGAAGCGAAGTTCAAGAGACGAATCTCCTGATGGACGAAGTTATAAAACTGGCTATAGGCCTAAGAAGCGAGGAATACAAGAACTCGGATTGAAAAGTGACAGCCCAGGAGGAAGGGGTAGAGGCAGAGGTGGATTCAGAGGCGGCAGGGGTGGAGGAAGAGGCGGAGGTGGAGGTGGAGGTAGCAGGGGTGGAGGCAGAGGTGGAAGCAGGGGAAGAGGCCGGAGCAGGGATTGAGTAGGAATAATTGAAGAGACATAGTTAGACGGATTAGTCCAGAAGAAGATCTAGAGAATTTGTAAAGGATAACATACCTGATTTTTTAAATGTAGTGATTCTTGACGTCGTAGTGCCGAAGCACACCTACCCTCGGCCTTCTTCGATACAATATGGCCACCCACTCTACGATCGCAACCGTCCAATGATACGCAAGAAGCGGGACTATGGAGACCAAATCGTTCCGTCAGGAAGTGAAGGCCTTTTCGTAGGTGAGGCTGTTTGTTGTTGCGGAAGCAAGGTGTCTGTGCTCGAGGCTTCGGTAAGAGGTAGTTGGTGTAGAAGTGAACCGTGAGAGGTGCAGTGTTAGATGTTTGTAACGGGAAGTGTTTGTACCTGAATTTTGGAGCCGGATGCCGGATTGCATAGCAAGATGGCTCGGCCATGCTCGGTGATGTCGAGAGAACCGAGAATTTGCCGGTCCATCCTCGTAGGGTAAGCCTGTTGGAATTAGTAAAGAGTAACGAATTTTGCTCTCACAAATCTAATCGTGCACGCTTGTTTTGGTGGGGACATGCTTGCCATGGCGGCAGGGGTGAGGCCTCTGAAATTGCCATCCGGTCCAAGTGCTCCCATTGTTCCCAACATAAGGATGTCCCGACAAGACGGCCCAGGACATCCGGAAATTGGTTCTTTGTAGGCCACCTTTGGACGCAAGGCTATTCCGAGCAGCTGCAAAGATTGAACGAAGTGGTTGAAACGGGCATTGGCTCTTCACTCCGAGCAAGACCGACCCCCGCCGTACAACCTCCTCCCATGCGCAGTCACTCTGCGGAAATTGTCCTCCGCGGAGTAAAATCCGGAGATTTTGCACCTCCGTACAAGTCTTGCTCGAGTTACAGAAACAGGAATCTCATGCTTCTAGCGCACGAAGATGGAGCGTGTAGCAGTAGCATCCAAGTTACTAGTATTCAACACTGTCTAGATCGCAAGATATACGAACATCATGAACACGGGAAACTATATGACTGAAGACCATTGTTTATTTATGTACAAGTATTGTACACGTTCCGTCTAAACCGAAAACTACAAAAATCACAAAAACTTAAGTTTGAAACGATTTCTAGTATTGACAGTTGGTGTAAACCATTTAATCAGATTGAAAATCACATCAAATTCCAGAAAGCTTATATATACACATTCTTCAATTTTGACAGTTGCTAACCCCGCTAGAGGTTAAGATTTCAAGGTATATGATGAAACAGCGTTCAAAATGAAGTAGTTTTGGAGAATTTGGTGATTCATTCTGATTCTGATTCACGAGACAGATAGAGGAGTGACCTGCTGAAGGAGCACATAGGTGATGTGTTTGCTTACTCCGTTGAGCATCTCTAACACTTACAACATCATGTTGTTATGACAGGCATCTTCCTGTCTGTCACCCAGGATTCAGACTTTGATCCAAACCCGTTCTGTCCCTTTCCTCTCTTCCTTCCGATGTAAAAGAATTCAAAAGCTTTGGGTTCAACCAAGTTGGACCAAATGCTGCGATCTTTGAAATGATAAAACGAAAATGGAGGCGGTCCCGAAGAGAGATGGCGCCACGAGGGAGCAAATGACGTGCTTCGGATGGGAATTTGCAAATTGATCATGCATGGCACGCAGAACTCGACACTCCAGAGCAGACAGAGCCAACGCCTATGCTACCACTTTGCGCACGTGGCAGCTCCTTGTCTCGTCCGACCCTCGGCGGAGCGTCCAACGTCCATTAGGAAATTAATCGCTTGATTAGTTCGTGCTAAGCTGACTCTGCATCGTTCATGTCGTCCGCGCCCTCTGATCGGTCCGTCGGTCGATCCGCTCTGTCGTGCTCATCCTCTTCCTCCCTCCCTCTCCCACTCTCACTCTTCCTCCTCTGTCGTCGTGCCTTCCGGCGCAGGAATTAAAAAAAGGGGTGGAATCTGCGCGCCCGCTTGCTCGCCTGCTCGCCTGCCTCCTCGCTACCATCTTCCGGGTAAGAGACTGGCCCGATGCGATGCCGGTGAGAGAAATGTGGTCTACCAGCACTCGTCCATGAATTGGATTTGAGATGGGGTCTTGCTTGCATCCTTTTGCTTTATTGCAAGTTTACTTGTCGCCGGAATTTCCATGACATTGTGGTGGTGAATGGGAGGGTCGATCTCTGTACACGATTTTTTGCTTCGTTCACTTTCCCTGGGGTGCAGAGTGAGCCACATTTTGAGTACATTCGATACGGGGAGAGTAGAGATTCCTATGGATGTTGATGCCACTCACGCTGTTCGTGAGCTAGTGATAGGTGTGAGCTGATACACTAGTCATAAATGCATCTTTCTCGTATGTCTCCTGCTTTCACTCTGTACAATTACTAGTGTCAGCTTTGTGCGCAAGATGTGGTTTCTCTAGTGTGGGTTAGTCTTTTTGCTTTCTGTTTCGAAGGCGATGGTATCGTCATGTCAGCTTTTCGTGAAGATTAGCGAGTTCGCCTTCGAGGACAAAGAAATTAATTTTTTTCGGCTACTTTGAAGAGTGTGCACTTAGTATGGAACGAAGCTTTCCTGATTCCGTAGTGTCTGCTTGGTCCATTGTGACGCCGGCAGGGCATCGACTCGGGAATTCACAATGGCTACAATGACGATGATGGCTGCGACGGTAGGCAAAGTATCATCCCGTTCGTCTTTTCAGAGTCCCAGCCCTGTTCTTCCCCGTTCCTTTTTGCATGTGAGACTTTCTCACAGTCTTGAAGGGATCAAAGTCCCACGGTTGAGGCAAAGTATCAGGACTGCACGAAGATGTGAGGTTACGCGAATGAGCGTGAGTCTCAGCACTGACGCTGCTACCAGTGATTCTGTCTTTGCCGAATACAAACCCTCCACCGCATTTCTGTTCCCTGGGCAGGTATGTTGTTTCTTTCCATCTGTGACTATTCCGGAGTGGGTCATTACCCGTTTTCCTCTGGCAGCAATAGCTCACCCTTGCTATTTGGTGGATATAATGGTGGTCTGTTTGTTTTACCAAGGCCCGACCTGTTACAATGTGGCATCCTGAATTTGCTTTGAGTCACTTGATCGGGACATCGTGCCCACGGCATTGTTGAGAGACTTGTTGTATGTGATTGAGGAGTTCTGAGTGTACTTTAGTCATACCAACGGTGTTGTGCTTCGCTATTTAGCCTATTAAGCTCACCGTTTGTAAAACTCGTCCCTTTCATCTCCATTCGTGAAACAGTCTATTCACATGTTCAAAATGCACAATGAATATTTGATTCTTTGTACTGACATTTTACCCATGAAATCGATGTCTGTCAGGGTGCTCAAGCGGTGGGCATGGGCAAAGATGCAGCAAGCATTCCGGCTGCTGCTGCTCTTTTTGCGAAAGCCAATGAGATATTAGGGTGAGTAGGCTAGACGAACGTGTGTAGTTGCAAATCATCTTTCAACAGACCTCTCGTACTCCGTGAGTAAACCAGCTGAATGTTATCTCGTAGTGCGATTGTTAAGGCTGTCCTGTCAAGAAGAAAAGTTATTCTTTTGTTGGCATGGCTTCAATTCAGTAAGATTGTCAGCAAACAGCAAAGTATTCTTATACTAGATGGCTTTTCTATGTTGAGCAGGTATGATCTGTTGGATGTATGCGTAAATGGGCCAAAGGAGAAATTGGATTCGACAGTCATCAGCCAGGTACATCTGGGTCTCTTCTGTCTATGTTCAGTTGGAACGTGTGCTGATGGAGGTTTCTATGCTTTAGATGTCTTTGAATGGATCAGATCATTCAGTTTGATGATGATTTTGGTATACGTGTGAAGTTTAATGTCGAGCCTATTTGAAGCATGCAGCCTGCTGATTTTCTTCACAAAGGTCAAGGACATTTGTTCTAACATTTGCGTGATTTATGTAGCCTGCCATATACGTTGCAAGTCTCGCTGCCGTGGAAGCTTTAAGGGCTCAGGAAGGTGGACAAGCCATCATAGACTCTGTTGACGTCACTTGTGGCTTGAGCCTGGGAGAATACACAGCTCTAGCTTTTGCTGGAGCATTCAGGTTGATATTATTGGGCTTGAGTTTCTTTTATGTTCTCTCCAAATAAATATACATTTCTCTTTCCTGCTTTCACTCTCTTATTCTTCGGTTCAGTATGAGTGAAAAGAAAGCTTGTTTATTTCCTCTCGGGACTTCAGTTTGGCGTTGAACAGAGCCTCACTGTTTACCAAGTAGATATTGTTTGTTTCATATTTTTGGTAAGCTAATGTATACTCGCCGAGTAGGTAGATATTCTAGAAACAGGAGGAAAGGATATATCGATCTCGCTAATTATCAATATGGAAAATTTAGCATCTCGTCCGTTTAAGCAGTATAACATATTTAGAAGATGGTTGGGAGCACCATGTTCACCCAATTTATACACGAAGCATGATTCGTAACCAGGTTCTCTTCTGACATTGGTTTTATTCACTAGAGTGGATGCTGATACTTATCAAGATCTTCTCTCCTGTTTTCTTGCAGTTTTGAGGATGGACTGAAGCTTGTAAAGCTTCGCGGAGAAGCTATGCAGGTATTGCAAATTACTTAAATAAACTTCTTTCAAATTTAGAGGAAAGATCATGTTCAAACAATATGTGGCATTCCTGTGACTAAGAATAGAATGTGTATCTGACACTTAGTCTTACAATTTGATTTTTGGAGTTGTAAAGTTCATTTTGAGTAGCAGATCCAATCGGGAATCTTCAAGAGGACAGTATCTGACAGATCACTTCTAATGAAATTCGCTTTTATTCTTTCGATAATTCAGGCAGCAGCCGATGCTGCACCAAGTGCGATGTGCAGCGTGATTGGGCTGGATTCTGACAAAGTCGCTGCGCTTTGTGAGGCTGCCAATGAAGAAGTCAGTGAAGAGGAAAAAGTGCAGATTGCCAACTTCCTGTGTCCTGTAAGTATTCTCTCTGAGTACGTATAGATTTGGTCACAAGACCTTTCATTGGCAATGCCGGTTCTAAAAGCCTTGTTGTTCTTTGCAGTTCGTCTAGAAGAATAATGATGTCTCGATAATCTCTTCGTACCGTCTGGATGATATGCAAGATCTCTCCCACGTGCTTTGTTTGTCAGATTTAGTGCTATCAATCATTCCTATGGAGGAAGAACTTGGAGTTCGAACAACGTCACCTTGTTATGGATCTGTCCCATCATCTCCAGTGGACTTCTAACTTTCGCTTATTCCAACAGAATTTTTTTTCTGTATGCCCTTTTATTATCGATCTCATTTTACCTATTTTTGCCGGTTCTTGTTTCAACAGGGCAATTATGCTGTGTCTGGAGGTGTGAAGGGAATCGAAGCAGTCGAGGCCAAGGCCAAATCTTTCAAAGCCCGTATGACCGTAAGATCTCTACGCGTGCCTTTTTGGGGTTAACAACCTGGATGATGTGCTCCATACTAGAATGTGCTAAGCCATGCATTTCGCCTCGTAGTTCAGACACCTGACTAAGAAACTATATAAGATGGTCTCTTCGCCACTCATGTAGGGTTAGTGATTCAACTCACATGCTTCTGGTTGGTTATGGAATGTACTTTGGCAGGTACGACTCGCCGTGGCTGGTGCTTTTCACACTCGTTTCATGAGCCCAGCTGTTTCCAAGCTGGAGTCTGCTCTTGCTGAAACCGAAATCAAAACACCCAGGATTCCTGTCATATCTAACGTGGACGGTGAGCCACATTCAGATGCAGCTGTCATCAAGCAGATCCTTGCAAAGCAGGTACTATTCAAATCGTTGCGCTATTTGTAACAGGACAACCATTTTCCTTTATCCCTTTGTAGGTGCACAATCTAGATAGCGTAGACAAGCGGAAAAAGCCGTAGTAAGAGAAGAGTAATCTGTCACTGATCGTCTTAATCGAGTACTCACATCCTTCTGGTTCTTCTTTCGGGTGCTTCAGACGATCATTGATAGAGTTCTCTCCTCCTACTCCCCGCTCAGCAAGAACGCATCAGTTTGCATTCTTGATCACAGCAGTTTGTCTGACTCGGATTGCATTCATGTCTGGAAGTGCCTTCCCTGACGACCATTTCACGTTAGTTTATTCGATTGCTTTGTAAGAGCGTAAATAATATTCTCGTGACTGATGGACGGAGTGGCTGGGAATGGCAGGTAACTTCCCCAGTCTTGTGGGAGAACTCGCTCAAAACCCTTTTGGATAGGGGACTACAGAATAGCTACGAGCTTGGCCCCGGCAAGGTATCGTTCAATCCATTTTTGTTTTCCCTGAAAGGGGAGTTGAGTTTAAATTTGTCTTCTTTGAGGTTGAAATCACGCACTTCAATGGGAGGAACGTCTGTTCCAGCAGAAATGTCTGGCCAGTTTGCTTAGACAGACCCTCTGAATTAACCTTTTATTTTGATCCTAACGAAGTAAAAGGGTGGCTACCTCGCTTCTTATGGTCAGGTTATTGCGGGGATTATGAAGAGAATCAACAAGACGGCACCCATTGAGAATATTAGCGTCTAGACCGATCACCATTGATACCACCATTCTTTTGACATGTCCTAATGTCTAATCGAGATTGTTCCTTACGAAGGCGTTGTCAGGTTTAAGTTTCAGATGTTGTCGAGTTTGAAGGTTTAGTAGTTGCGGTTGTGAAGCGGCATTCCTTATCTCAGGAGTATTTGGCAACTGCTTACATGAAGGTCGAGGCGATAATGGAAATGGAAGCATCAGATAGGGCATCGCAGTAAGCAGTTGCACAGGAAAATGGTTTTGTCAGGTCTCTGTCACAGTTGTACCTTAGTTAGTTGCGGAAACTAGGACCACATACCTGCTTTGCATGTACTCTAAATCTTTAGGCGTCAGAGCTGCTGTCGTCACCACTGTTCTTCACCTATTTCGTATGTCGTTGCGCGAGTTAAAGGTCACCATATTAACCGAAACTTACACTGTCTGCTCCAATGTCAGAGGAGCACAACCAGAGTACATGTTTCATGGGACGAAATGTTCTAACGTCTTCCTTGTTCCTTTGCAAATCGAGACGGAGAAGCTTTACAATATCTACATGTACAGAGAAGTGAACTGTATTCATAAATTTTCACTTGACAACCTTGTTTGTCGAAAGTACGTGGGTTGTTGAACTCAGAAATTACATACGATGTGAATTGATAATCTTTACATGTGCAACAAAGGATAATTCTCTCAAGTAAGAAACATGTACATTTTTTTCTAGCTTTTGCAATCATGGTGAGGTAGATTTCCTGAACAAATCAAGATCGTAGAAGACATTTGGTTATCTCATCGATGAAGATTTCTCTTCCTTCTCTTCGTAGAACTCTTTATCTATTCTATGTCTCCTCCCTCTCATCGTATAACTTCTTGTCATTGAAGGTCGTAGTATTTCATAATAATCTTCATTTTGTGTTTCAAAATCGGAGTATGAAATATATCCTCTAGTCAATCATCAAACCACATGCAAAATCAAATTGCCTCAGGTTTTTTCTATTTTTGTAAGAAAGATTCAGCACAAATGAAGTACCCACAAACTTCAGCTGTTGCAAAACTACAGAATGTTAAACAAAGTCAATTGTAAAGTTTAGAAAGTAGTTTTTTATGATAATACGAAAAATGATCATCTGTAAGTTTTAAAAAGCAAACTGTATGTTGTCAATTGTTCCACGTCAAAAGGTATTGAAATACACACCTCAAGCAACAATATGTAATGCATAAGTTGATAAGAAGATGAAGTTTTTCATTATAAGAAATTCATATCATGTAATAATTTGTAAAGATCTCAAAATAATCACAGTGTTATAAAATTTCTCACTGTTCATGCCAAAATTGAATGCAGCACGGAAAAGTGACTTTTTCAATTTTTTTATTATTTCCAGAAGAGTTAACTTAGTAATATCAACACATTTTTCAAAATAAAATGATCTTAGCTTGAGATTATATTAGAGTAAAGATTTTGTCAAAATTTTGAAATTCATTTTTTTAATAACTTAAGTTTTCAAAAATGAAGCTCTACTTATATGAAATAATTTAATCACATGTAATCATTTTTATCTTGGTTTAAATTATCTTGTGAATGCAAAATCGTGCAATTATTTTTATTTCATAGTGATTTGTTTCATTGAAATGAGTTGATACAACAAGTTTAGTTTTCTTCATCTACTGTATTCACTTTCAAATTTGTTAAACCAAGAATAGAAATTGTTATTAGAGATGATAGAAGATTTTTTTTATGAATATTTGCAAATATTTATGAATAATTACCATCTTGGCATTTCTACCTAGTTATAATACCTAAGATCTTGTTGTTATGTGTGTATCAAGAAAAAGTTCAAACTTACACAAGGAATTTGAAGATGTGTCTAGAATACATTCCAAATTCAATTGTAGCCGTTAGTTAGTCACAATGTATATGAACTACTAAATTATAATATAAATTTGTTAAGTACAAAAAGTTTATTTTATTTTATTTTTCTTATATTATATTATTTTAAATTTTTTATCTTAAATTTAATTTTTGTATTATTTTTATTATGATAAAAATTATATTTTACAATACTTAAATTTTTTTAAAAATAAGAAAATTTAATGTAACATTCATATCATGGTTAAATCAAATCCTAGAAACCAAAGGCTGAAAAGCTTGAAAAACACATTACAATTCATTCATCTAGAGATCAAGAAAAAGATCTTAAAACAACTTATACTAGCTACTGACTAGAGCACTAGAGTAATGAATAATGCCTAATATGACAATCTAACTCATAAATCACTAGCTGAAGTAAAGAATAGAAATCATACACATTTAATTTTTGAGCTAGTATAATTTCTTACTAATACATGTAACAAACACATTATCTTCATATTCAATACTTTTTCCATCACATAATCTACAAATTTGTTCAGTATCGTATTTACTCAAATTATAGCCTATAAGACTTATTCTCTATGTCTAGTGATAATATGACATCAGAATGTGGAGATCCTTGCAAATAAATATATTTGATCATAATATAATAACATGAACTTTATAAAACTCCATTTTGATGTATCGGTTGCTTCAAACAATGTGAAAAATTGCTCCATTGGACGCTCACGGCGTGTCATCGGTTGCAAGTCTCAATTGCGTTTCGCCACATTTCACTTTGAACATCAAATCATCACATTTGATAATCATCATATGGACAATGTAATTTGCAAAAATTGATAAGTACGGCGAGAAGCATCAAGATATTTCACTCTTACAATGTAAATGATATTCAAATAAAGACTATAAGACATAAAAATACAACCTACTTCCAAAAGTGAAAAAACATATGAATTTGATTTCTTACGCCTATTTTTTCTTGTAAAAACTTCTTTTGTACACTCTTCACACGCTACCAACCTGAATCTTTACAAGCAGGGTTTCATGTTGTCCTGTGATTTATTTGATGCTTGAAACTACAATGTACTTAGTGTTTTGTGTGAATATAAATTAGGGAGAAAAACCATAAATAGTGTGGGTGCTGTATGTGTTTATTGTAACTAGAGTTGAGCGTAGTCCGTACTTCCAAGGGGTACTACAAACTTGTACTAGAGTTGAATGTAGTACGTCATTCCGAGTTGTACAACAAACTTGTACTACGTGTTGTACCAGAGTTGAATATGGAAGGTGCTTCCAAGTTGTACTCCAGTTGTATTACTCACTTACTACGTTTTACTTTTGTAAGTTCTTTTGAAAAGCTATGTAGTAAAGAAATGTGCGGCTCATTCAGCTTAGTCCAAAGTTTGAGTTTTTATAGGTCAACGTTCAAGGCTTTCCGCGTTTGTTTTAGTGTTTGTGTGTGTTTTGAGATTTTTTTGTTTTTCTAGATGACTTGACATTGAATGTTGCAAGATTTGACGCGAGTAGTTAGTAGGGGATGGTGATTTTTTTCCCAAACGAAGTCCGTTTAAGAGAAAAATGATCTTAGAGATAGAAAAACATTTGTTCAAAGCATTTTCAGAATTATTTATTGATTGTAGAGGAAAAGTTGTCATATGTTTCAATTTTTGTTTCAAGTCTAGATTGCATGTAGATAGAAAGTTATAAAGGTTGGAAATTAAGGTGGTTTTCACAAGTACCAAAAGTTTACTCTTGGACAAATTTGTACATAATAAATTAATTTCTCTTCATTTTGATTTTTCATTCATAAATTTGTATGAGTGTGTACTGGAAGATAAGCTTTGTTACAACCTAATATCTACTGAGAGATCACGTCTAGAGAAAAAGTTATGTTCTTTGGAATTACACGGTGTACAAAACCAAGAAAAGAGATCAAAAATTTTGAATTTATATATCTGCAATTTTTTTCTTTGCAATTTTTTTCATGTAGAGAGTGTTTTTTTGGTAGATAATTTTTTTGTGTTTTCATGTTATGAAATTGTCATATTAATGTGATAGATTTTTGTTGCTAGTAGCAATAGGCCAAGCGACTTCTTCAGCAGCTTTTTACGCCCACACAATGTATAAGATCAACAACAATACTAAACTCTTAAATAAGAAGTTTCTTAAATACCAAGACACAAGATTAGCTTTTCTATCTTGGTTTCACAATAAACATAGAACTTTGTAATCTGGTTATAATTTTTTTTGCACTCAAGGTGCCCAACTATAATCATTAGAGAAATCTATGCATATGAATTTATAATTTTTCATTTGTTTTATTGTAGATATTTGCAAAAGAATGAAAAATTGAACTTAGTGATCATTTTAATGATTATAGACTTCTCCATACAAAACTTCATGTGAGTTTAAATACGAAAACTTTCAAAAAATTATTGATGTGTTTTATAAATTAATTTCATCACGTGCTTGTAATATGATATCATATGCATACTATAGAGCTTTGATGAAAAAGTACCCAGCTTGAAACTTTCACTATCACATTCCTCCAACCACTTTTTGATCTCTTTGAAAAAATCAAATTAGAGTAGAAGAGACATTACAACCTTGAATGATCCCAATGAACATGATTCCAAACATTCTTGGATCATGATTTCATTTGGAAAAAAACCAGCTTGAAATTGTGCTCTCTTTGGAAAAGATTTTGTTTATGTGCTCAACTTTGATTCCATCAAAATCTCAAATAACTTGGAAAAAATACTACCCACTATGATAGTGCGACAATTTGTCACAAATTGTTTACTTTTTAATTTGTGAATAGAAATAATCTTCCGTCAGGATTAGATTAAAAGAAAATGAAAAATAACATCTTCCAATATTTTCTCACATTTAACATTTAACAAATTTCACATTTAACATACACACAAATTTATGACAAAATTTAACAAATTCTCACATTTAACATTTGCAAATCTTTTGAGTTGAGTCATCACGTCTATTTCAGAGAATAATCTAGGTATTTGTTTGAAACGACACATAGATATAGCATCGAGGAAGAGATATTTCTCTTAGGTAAAAATATTTAAAGATTCATTATCAAAATTAGGTTGAAGATTGTAATTCTAACTATTTTTAAAATGATTGGGAATACTCTTGCAACTTTCTTGTCAAGAATTTTTACTTCCGCCACAAGAAAGCTTATTTCTTAGACTTCATCAAATCTTTAAAAAGGCTTGTCATAATAAGTCTACATTAGATATTCTAAGATCTATTAATTGACCTCGTCCTTGATTGCTTGAATTCAAAGTCAAACCATTCATTGAATTGCACATTTCTAACACTTCTGTCACTATGTCACAAAAGTAGCAATTTGTTCAAAAACACTAAATATAGTGTTCTTGAAATTTTAGTTAGTTGCAAACTTACTGTATGTGTATGTGGATCTCGACTCCGTACAATGCAAGTCAAGAGTTGTTGTAAATGTAACATATGAAGATTTTTTTTACCAGATTTAAGCAAAATAAAATGTAACGGGCTTTGATAATGAAAGATTAAACAAAAGAGCTGTATAATCTGATTCAGACGATAGATATAAGAAATTTTCTACTAGACAAGTATAGAAGATAATCGATGGTGCTAGATCCGGTTTTGTAGAGGAAAAACACATATTGGACTAAGAGTTGAAAAAGTGAGAAGTAACATTTAGATATTTAAATTACAAGTGTCTTCAAATATTAGAGAATGCTACGTCAAAACATATTTCTATAACTACTTTGATAGATCTGAAAATATTCTTGTTCACAAACTATATTTATGTTGTTTAAAAAGAGTAGAAGTCAAATAATCACGAAATTGAATAAATTAAGCATAACTCACAAGAGAAAATCTCAAACTAGAAAGTTTTCACCTTTGCTTGATATTAGCGAACACACCTAATGAGTCCATTGCATGTTGAATAAATATATATGATTAATGCTGTAAAATAACAAACTGCCAAATAACAATAATATTCCTTAAATGATAAAAACAATAATGCATTCTTTGGTTACATGTGATGTGGATAAAACCAAAGTTAACCTTTGGAATAAAATAAACTGTTGCATAAGATGCAATAATTTTGACTTCACAATCAAAAAGATGTTGGACATATCTTCTATACTTCTTCGATTGCTAAATTGATATCACATTGATTTGACAATTGGAAGAACATGTTAAACAAATTTCATTCAACAACATATGAACCATCTTTAAGTGAGTTCGATTGTTTCGATCGATTGTTTCCGTACCCCACAATATAGAACACCAATATTTGACTTCAATGGAGTTTAATGAACGATGAGTTGCGTAGCGAGAACCTAAAACATCAAGCAATTCCCCAATTCACAACCATGCTTCTATTGACGGCCGTTGTTATGATAAAAGATGTGAAAGTGTAGGAGCTGCTACACTTTCATCTAATCTAGGCGTCGCTGAGCATTACTAGATTGATAGAGAGTGCTGAGATAAATTCACAACTCATAGAGATTGTCTTCATATTCAGCAATAGACAAAAGTATATCAAGTGATACACTAGCGTGGATCATTGCAATGGCCTTAATTCGTCGGCGTCAAATAGCAACATCGTCATCATCGCCATGATAAGCAGATTGAGAATAGTGCCTTCATATACCCCTATGTCCCTCAACATCGTCTTCAAACGGATGGACTAATTCATGTAGTGGAATCGCCCAGTGAGTTTCTCCTCTGAGCGTAACCTGAAAGCATATTTGTATTGAGTTTCATCTACTATCTAGTGAACTACTGCAGAGCAACTGTTCATAGAGTAAGAAGAAAATTTGTGATTACTATCACAAATCATCACCCGCTAGAGTATCTAAAGAAGTCTTTGATATCATGTTGTGAGATACAAATAATATAATTTACTGAAGAGACAACAACATTAAATAGTTGCTGACATTAACATGCTGAGTGAAGTGATGCATTCGACTTATAAATTATGGCTTGGAACTAACATTAGGAACTAATAAATGCTATAAAACGATAAGGTGAGCATCCTAAACCTAATGCTAAAATTAGCCTCTCGTAGAGACACTAACAGCGTCTTACAACATAACTTTCGCATTTACAACATACCAGCAATTTCAGACATGTCTAGCATGTATGTTGTAATTGCGAGCCTATATATTGTGAAGTATCCAATAATTCGATTTTGAAAGTTCATGCTTCACGTTGCAGTAGCTTCATGTCCTTCGCAGGTACTTGGAGCAAGTTGCAAGTTGCTACTCACAACAATACTGCAGCTCTAAGACAATTTCGTCGGACAGTAATTTCCTTTGCCTCGACGTCGAGGGTAATTCTGAAGAACTCGTGAGTGAGAGATCTCGGACATGTTGCAAAAACAACTGACACGGCTGAGAGGATTTGAAAGTTCGATCGAAGTCATCGTAACACATCCTTTATTAAGATCGGTTCTGTCTCGGGAAAACAGATGCTCACCAGTCCACTTTTTATTCCAATCAAGATGCGATCATCGTTTTCCAGTGCATTACCGATGAATAGACGATATAAGGAGCTATCTTATGGGATCCAAGCTCTGACATGTCCAATGACGTTTAGTGGGGTAATTGTCCTCGAATTGACCTAACCACATTCCATGAATATATACGGTCCATCATGCCCAAAGAGGTCCATAGGAGGAGACTAGAACTGTCCATGTCAAGGAGGGAAATATTTACGTAATTTGATATCGGATGTATGTTTCCAAATAAATTGTTACATTAAGTAAATAATAAAAAAATAAAACATATCCCATAAGTATCTTCTGCTACCTACTTAGGGAGAAGAAATAGCTCATATTCAACACATCCAGATGCAGATTCAAGTTTGATTCCAGATTTTGATATAAGCATGAAGTTCATCCATGTCCAGGGCACTTTATATGCGGCATACGCCGCAATTACCGCAATTAGCTTAATTGCGGCTTGCCAAGAAACGCAAATGCGGCTAATTGCGGCCTTCACACAAAATCATACAAATTGACCGATCGAGATCTGAAATCATTTGCCGATTTCTCAAAAGCTGAAAGCTGACGTCCCTGAATTTTATTGGACGTTAATGGACCGCATTTGCTTGAACTGCTTGGCATGGAGGATTCCTTCCAAAGAGAAGTCTGTCAATGATGCTCTGCCAACATCCTTCTCCCACTTCACAATCGAGAAATCGCTTTCCACAGTTGAGGTGCCGGGAAAAGCTGTTGCGAGACCGCCACAAAACTCTCACAGAAAGCAAAACCGATCTTGAGTCAGCTTCCAACCTTCCTTGAAGGAGGTATGGGGACCACACGCATCCAGCACAGCTTTGAAAGAACTCTCGCGATGATAGGCTGACTGCAGTTGTGCAAACTCCTGCTCAATGATATCAATTTCGGTAATCAAGCAAGTCGTCCGCAAGCGAGGGGTTTGAACTTTCAAAATGTCACTGAACTCTCGGCCTCGAAGGTGAGGAAGCACAGGGGGCATTTCCGCGGCAGCTTCGTTTGACGAGTCACGCTCGGCAACGATAGAAATCACGCCCGCAATAAGGTTCACTGTGCAGACAGCAAGACCTTTTACAAGCTCCGCCATCGCTTCCGCATCAGTTTCTTCAATCTTGCCCGCGATGAATAGGCCAAGGTTCTCCAGCACTTCTGTGACATCGGAAAGTTGCAGCGAATACCGGTAATCTTCGGAAAGGACTGAAATTCCATGATCAACAACATTTGCGTCTTCCACAGATAGTGGCCCAGACGCCTTGAACAAGCGTACGTAAACATCATGCAAACGCTGCAAACCTTCACGCTGCTGCGACACTATCGTTGTAAGTCCTTCGAGGCTGCGAAAAATAATCGTCGCTTTAGCCGATAAACATAAGAACATATCCACCACAACGGAGACGGTGCCACAGAAGGCTTCTTCAGCCCGAGATATGCTAACACACCCACACGATTCGTCTTGAACCAGGTAGCCACTTTGCCCATTGACTCCCATCGAGTGTCTGAAACGGTAGATGCCTTGGTCTTCATATCATTAATAAGATTCTGCTGCCTGCGTAAGTACGAGATCAACGAAGTGAGACTGGAGTAGAACTGCTCGTCCATCAAAGACGCGAAAAAGCATTGCAGCTTGATTTCTAGCTGGTGTAGACCGCATCAAATGCGGTAAAAGCCTGGCAGAGCAGACTGCTCGAAGCGAGTTGCTACGCCTTGAACACGTCATGTCATCTTGCGCTCGTCATCAGTAGAGATTGAAAGAAGCAGCTTCTTCCATGGGTGGACATATCCATCGCCACCGAAAATGTCCAGACACGAGCTAGCAGGTCCTTCAACGATTGAAGGTTGAGCGCACACACATATCAAGCGAAGGCAGCCACCTTTCCTTCAGACACAGATCCCAGTGATGCCAAGCCAGTGCTCTCCTTGGTCATCGTCAGGATTCGTGAAGCCATTCTAAATGATGCTCCTATGCTGAGGTAGTCAGAAATGAGGTAGAACTGGGCAGGATTCTTCAAGTGAATGCGATATCTCGCGGTAGATACATCGGCTGCATCATCACAGCCATCGCAATTGCCTTCCGAAGGTTCAAGAACGTCCTCAAAAATACTGAGAGCGCGTTCTTTCGTGATGTTCTCATTACTATCGCCATCCTGAAAAAGCATATCGCCAATGATAACATCGACGATGCCCTTGTCAACAAACAACTGGATAGGAACTTGCGAACCACCAAAGTGTGATTTGATGGTGTTGCGATGAACAATGGGAGCATTCGTATCGAAATAAGACGCCTTCTCGCTCTGGCTAAGGGCAGAGTACTCTTTCCAGCACAAGGGATGCTGCAAACTCATGTGCCTAAGGTACATGTCGGCACGAAATGGCTTCTTGAAGTACATCACATTGACAGTGCGGTTGCGCTTCGAACGGATTTTCTCCTCCCACCCGAAATGAGCACAAAAGAGACAAGACGCTGATACCACTGCCTTCGTTGCAGAATCACACTCGACGATCTTCACACCAAACTGTAAAGCATGCTTAGAACTGAATGGAGTAGCACGTTTCGGAGCCATTGCACGGACGCAACAAGAATGAAATCAAATCGAGCACCGCCACGGGTAGTCCTAATTGCGGCGCCACGCACAAGTTAAAATAAGGCTAATTGCGGCGTTTGGGTCCGAAACGCCGCATTTAAAGTGATATGTCCATGTCCTATGAAATGGACCAGAAGTATTGTTTTCATTGCAAATCAAGGCAAAGGCTGAAGCCTTAGCCCCAGTCCTAAGTAAACTAAAGTTAGCTAATTGAACAGATGGCGTTCCAAAGAAAGTATTACTCTTAGCCAATCACAAATCCATGAAAGATTGTGAGTGATTTTTTCTGTAGCTTCTCCCAAACTCACTTTCTATTCTATGACCGTTTCTGAAGCGTACCAGGCAGAGAGGCAGCATCTCTTAAATTCAACCAAAACAAATGGCGATGCTGATTTGCAATCGCCACTGCTGAGGTCTGAGTGCCCTAAAACTAGCTGAACAGAAAGATATCATGCCAAAGAAACGAGTCATTTAATCCAATACAGTTTCTCGTAATTCGGTCATTTTTTTTTTCTATAATAAGACTTGCCAATTCAGCGCTCTATATACACTTACTGACTCTCTGGGCTCAATTTCGACGAGCTCCGCGACATCAGAGCCCCACAGATATTCGAGCCTTCCCATGGAATAAGGAGAGTAGCTAAAGAACCCTCCCTTCTTAATTGGGTTCCGTCAGGGAACGTATCGTTGGCTGCGGCCACTTTGGTCTCCTGATAGAAAAGTAAAAAATACATCGGTGAGGCACAGTCCAATCAGCACTGAACTTTGGACGTTGTACATAAAGGAGATTGGTTGCTTTGCGCACGCGGGCTGCTAAGACGAGGCAAACTTAAAGAGGACGAAGCAAAAAGCGACGGAGCTTCCCGGAATCTCTAAAAGGACCACCGATGCGTGCAACTCACCAGAGGCACTACAGGGTAGAGGCGCAGAGCTTCGGTGATGGCTGCGTGCAGATAGTGCATCTTACTGAGACTCTCGTATTTCAGCCGCTGGGCGAATTCGAGGACTCTCTCGCCGAAACTAGCTGCATCCATGGAGTTGCTCAGGTCCAGGTGCGCCTGAGGATCTAACCGCAAGCACATTCGACACTTCCTCCAGTATCTTCTTGTGGATTACTGCAAAGTTCGAAAAAAACCACGACAGCGTAATAGTTGTGGTGTTCCTTCCAGCTATGACAACATCGTGCAATCGCTCATCGGTGTAGGTCTGGTCACCCATCGGTGATCGACATAAAGCGGGACAAAATGTCCACTGTTGTTGCTGCAAACCATCGCACCCACCCGACAACATCATACTTAGCAGCGAGGAATTTTACCAACATCTTCAAGGGAGCACTGAGATAGAATTTACAGTATCATTTTGTAGCTCTCCCTCTCTTTCTCTCTAATCGAGCGCCAGGACGGAGGCCTTCGGACTTCAAACGCTGCATGCATTGCAGTGCCCCAGCTCACGGTTCCAGTCAGATACTCGAATCTGACAATAGGGAACGAGTTCTAATAAAACCGTGGTAGGTGGAAAAAATGAGGATTTTGGAATATGCTATTAACTGATTTGCAGCTTCAGCTGGAAATTCTCAATTTGCGTTCGTCACCAAGGTCTTACCTGAAGATCAACTTTTTGTCCGTTCCTGGCGGCGATGGCCAGCACTTGCCCGAGCTTCAAAGCCTCCGTGCGGAACGCATGGATGCTAAAGTCACGAAGCTTGGACGACGCTGGTGCCTTTACATGTCGATATCGACGTTGAAATTTCCATGTACGAGCATGTCCCCAAACCTCTCCCTAATCAAGTCTCCCTGTCACATCTCAGTCTATAAGTCATGGAATCATCTCAAGCAATTCCAGATCACAGACTTATTCCCGCTACACAAATCGAGCTCAAGCTCTACTCGCTACGTAATCACTTACATGCTCCCATGTACGTGGATCCCACCCTCGAGCGCAGTCTGGTGCGCTTCCTTCGCCCCATCTAGCGCACCTTCTACTACTACATTACTCTGGACTACGAGGGAAGGAGGCGACGCACCATCGTCGCATGTCCAGTTGGTTCTCTAAAGCTTCGATCCCCCTGCGACTGTACCATAAACCTCCGAAATCAGAAATAATTGGCACCAAACAGACTGACAGCTTCGCCAATGAATCCAAGTTGCAAGCGTTTACACGCACACAAGGACTCAACTGGACTGAGCAACTGACTTCGGCTAGGCCAGACTGAACTGGACGAGACGTTTTCTTAGAGATTGATTACATGACTTGGGAGTTGAGAGAGTGGGCACACCTTGGGATAGTTGCAGAAATTGGTTTTGAGAGTGTACTCGATGTTGCGAGGGTAGGCTGTGAAAGTATTGTTAATACTAATCATTGGCACGGAGAACGTCAGGCAGCCTTTCTTGTGGTAGTCGTGCATCCGATCAACATTTCGTGCTTGCTCTATTATGCACCCGATAGAGATCCATTTCTTTGGACTTTTATGTTTCGCTGCACGACTGTTTTGCACCCACATGATCCATGTAAGGAGGATAATCTCGGAGACGATAGCCGCTGGCATTAGGCTGACTTGGTATTCTCTTCGTATAGTCTTCCATGTACTTGGCAACTTCCGGTTTGAGGACCCATATCTTGCTCGATGAAGCACAGAGATCAGGAACATTAGCCCCGACGCATGCACAACACTACCCGAGGGCTCGACCAGCTCTTCTTCGTGCTCGTCTGGCTCTCTCTTCAGATCTTGTTTCCTCATGCCTTACTCACTCCTTCACTGCTCACTAGCTTCCAGGTCCTGTGTCTGAGACCGCATTTGTAATCTCAGCCTGAGAATCAAGCCGATTTCTACCACGGGGGACTGGGGACGTGTCCTCCCTGGTCGCTCCTCGGCTGGCTCGCTTCCCTCGCTCTCTTGCTTTCTGCACGGCCTTGGCTTGCTTGCTTTGTGTAGCGCAAATGCACAAGTCTAGATTGCAAAGACAAAGTATTAAATGGCAAAGAGTTTGGCGTGTTCGCAGGTCCGAGGGGAGTATTAATTAAGACAAGCAGTCTGCTACAATGGAGCGCGGATCTATGCTCCGTCCTTTGTGACTTGTGCAGCCCCTGCTCTCTCTCTCTCTCTCTCTCCCTTTCTCTGCTTTCGCTTTTCACTTTCAACGGAGATTCCTTGCTCCCTTCTTCTCTCCAAATATTTGCAACCAAAGCTCTCTCAATGCCTGCTCACTTCTCTCCCTACTCTTCACTGCTGTAAAAATCCAACGCTTAACGATAAAATTGTGTGCTCAGTGCTCTTGCTCGTATGGTGTGTACGCTCGGTTTGCTGCAGACCCAAAGATGAAAGCTCTAAATGTGGCGGTACTGTGTGGACCCTTGGAATCTCTACTCAATCCCCCTGCGCTCTGCGCTCCTTGTCTTCCAGCCTCGATCATCACTTGAACTTACTTGAACTTACTAACAGCTAGAACGGGCTTACACCAACTAATCACATTGTCTTATGTTCGGTGACGATTATGAGGCTAGACCAACTGGTCAAAGCCCGCTCATTTGTCTTTGACATTTGTCCGCTCATTGTCATTGTAATAATGCAGGCTAGATCAACCCCGACCCTATGACTGTGGGCTGACGGCATACGGGCACCGTCGTGACGGGCGTCGTCTGTCACCGTCGCGTCGATCAAGCGCACCGTCTCTCGTTCAAATTAGACACGTGTCCAGCCGATGTGAGACATTGTCATCGCCTTGTGTTACAATTTAGGCAAGGGGCAGAGCAGGGCAAGACAGAGGGAGAGAGAGGGGAGGGAGTGTATGCATGGGAGTGGAAGAGTGAGTGACGGTACAATTTTAATAATCATAACAGTTTATTAGGTCTCTTTTTAAATTGCTGTTAGGAGTGATTGAATATGTGATTTAATAGCAGCGTGGTTGTCTGCTGTAAATTCTAGGCCCAAGGGAGTTTGTTAAAAAAGATAGATCTCGAGACTGCAGTAGTAGAGTTCCATAAGTTCTGACATATGCCCACTCTGATCAAGTACGGGAAAGTCTTCCTTAGTACATTTTACTAGCTGAACCTCGGCAATTCCTTGGAATCGAAGTGCCTGCCAAGGTGGTGCAGGATATGCGAAAAATCTGTTTCTGGTGGCAAGATTGATGGTGGGGTGGGATTTGAACCGGTTAATAGTCTGTCATAATAGCTCGGACTTGATCTAGCCACAAGTATTGTAATCACATTGTCTTACTTGCGGTAACAATTATGAAGTTCGTTAATGAAATAGACGGTGATAATACTTTCTTTGGTTCCGTTGAATGCCGAACTGCTCAAATTCAAATGCTCGAGCAACTAAGAACTCTCAAATATCAGCTTACGTTGTGAGTGATGAATATCATTCACAGATTATCAGATATATTTATTCATCCAAGAGCCTACTGTCGCTCTCAGATACCAATGCACATTCTTTATCGGGCCTCTCTTGGACTTTGGATTCATACCTTCCATTCAGTAGTCTTCAATCAATTCGTCATAGTCTTTGAATAAAATGCAACTCCTCCTCCAATATCTGTATTAAGATTGAGTTTTCTGAAATCCACTCAGCTATCAGTAGAGACGACGTTTGCTCTTTCCCAGCCTCAAGCTACTCACAACGACTGATAACAAGTAACAACCACGATGCACTTCAAGCGATTCGAGTTCTGCTTAAAAGTGGTTGTACTAATTTATCCAATCTTCAAAATCTCATCAGTACTATGCCAGCGTAGAAGCATTTACAATGCGCTGTAACAGAAACACGATACCCACTACACTCTCTGTCATCCTCACGGCAGGGAGCGATGGAGTGCCCTCCCATGAAATTCTCATCCCTGCCCCTCCCTAACCTGCCTTCGATATTCGTCCACTGATGCACATGTACATCAGTGCTGAATCTACATGAGATTACTATTTGTCCACCAGTTCAGCAAAGATGAAATTCGGAGTCGCTGGACGGCCGCAGCTATTCGTAGAAGAAGTCTAGTAAGGAAGCTCATTGCCAACGTTTCCCGGGGGATTGTAGTTGCAAACGAAGAACATGCCACCAGAGGGACAAGTGGCCGACCCGCATCCCACCGTCAATGTGTTTCTCCACACGACCTGTTGCAAAGAGTGCGACCCATGTCAAAACCCGCGAGGCTCATCACATTGCCTGACCGTGGAAATAATAGCGACACAGAATTTTTTACTTCCAGTTTCTAATCCCATTCATGAGCTTCCAGAGTGTGCGTGACGCCCCTCATCTTTCAATCATGATACAGGTCCTGGTCTAATGGTTAGTTCTCAAGATCTAGAAATCTCTGAAAATCAAACTACGGTGGAAAGCCATGGAAACACAACTTCGCGCACAGCAGGCGAGAAAAGCACGAGAAGAATTTGCATGGACCTGCTTGTAATGATCGCATTCGAACTCGCCCTCCGAGCACGAATTTGTTGCGTAGTCGTAATATGCCTCCTCGCTGACCCAGGACTGCACTGCATCCGCTGGGGTGCTCGGTCCACTGGACCAGTAGAGGTTCTCCCCGTAATCTCCTTCAGAGTGTATGAGAGCGCAGTTGTCACCAGCAGCTGCTCTGGTGGCGGCCCAGTCAGTAGCAAACGATTCCAGCGTGGTGTTCCAGGTCAGGCTCGGTATGCCTAGATTCACTGCAGATCGGACATCATTATGCGCAGTGAGGTACTGGTCTGCTGTGGATTGACCCAGGGCGACATTGATGATGCTAGACGCTGTTAGGCAGATGACAAGAATCAGAATCAGAAATCGTGGCCTGAAGTCGAAACCCATCGTAAAACCGAGGATCCAGAAACTTCCAGGAAGAAATTTTTTTGTATGGGAGAATTCGAGAGCAGAGTCCACTCGGTCTGATATCTGAAGTGAGCTTTAGCCTTCGAGATAGTCCTGCTATAAGAATGGCGATACGAGATAGGAGGAAATGATACTCATCATCAATCCCAGCGATGAGATATGCTTTGAACGATCACTCCTGATCCTTTTATACTACGGCAATCTCTCAACATGCGTAAGAGATGAGTGTAAACTATTGAGTTGGTATTTGTAAAAGTCAGGATCGGGACCCACATGAGCATTTCTCGAAGCCTTTGTTAAAGAAAGAAATTATTGGCGAGCATTCCTAATGTATCCCGGAATCTTCTCTACAACTGTTATTTAGCTCGTCATCTGGGCTCTGCTATACATCTCACTCAAAAACAAATGCAGTCTGGACGCCGCTTATCTTATAGGACTAGCTTTGAGGAACTTAATAGTATGTGATCTGGAAGACCGTAGGAGGAGCCTTGTCAAAGGTCATGTCCATTATGAATAAACAAAATCGAGATATCCACTAGTGGCCTAATATTAAGATATTTGGAGGACTAGAATAGGTCCATTTCTAGGTCCAAGTCTGGATCAGTCCTCGTTCCATTTCTAATCTCTTGGTCAATCTAGACTCTATATTGACGGTCACTCCAGATGGTCTGGATTCCAGAGCATCTTATATGCAGCTGCAGGAGAGCTCGCCAAACGCATGGGACGTGCGTGTCCGCCATCGTGAAATGATCGCTTGAGTTCTAATAGATTTCAGAGGATATTTTACCGGAAACGGTGTTTATCTAATTGCCAAAATCTTCATATTGCGGCTAATTCACCAGTTACCTTCTTGTTGTACTGTTTATAATCCGTATTCTAACAAGTTACAAGTCAGGTTAGATTGTGTTTAAAACTTTGCCTCGGATTATTGCAATCGGTTGATTGAACATACTGAGCAGATGCGCATGCCTGTAGTCGGAAATTGTGAAAAGATCTCATTTACAAGGAGGTGAGATTGAAGGAGGGTTGAAGATTGGACGTTGGCCAATATCCTCATGGCTCATGGCCAATATCCTCATGTGCTAGGACAAGCCATACGCGTCAATACCACATTAAAAACTATTCAAGTGTCCATTGACTTATATGCTGCTATAGTCCCTAAAGGTCATCTGGAAGGATTAGAAGAGCTTTTTTGCGCTGCTAGCTTTGATGACAAGGACCCAGTCATGCAGGCTTCACTCAGTGGCACTATCTTCCATGTGAATGGAAAATTGGTGATTCTTCAGTCTTGAAGAGTCTTTCATTATGTCCATAAAGCGAAGATCCTCTGAATGGAATATGGTGGAAGCACCTGTTCTGGTTCCTGCGTGGGAACAGAAGTCTCAATCACTTGACTTGAGTGAGCCTTTTAACAAACGGGCGTTCAACGAAGAGGCATTCAGGGATCTGATGGTGGTGTTGAAAGTCAACTTATCTATCCAGGCAATAGATGTCTCAGCAACCTCATAGGCAATGGACGGAAAGGCGATGCAGATTCAAGAGGCCCTAAAGCAGAACCAGAAGCGGGCGATAGACATGTTGGTGTTCAGAGAAACCAAATTATTATTTGGAGATGCAAAAGCTGGTCGACTCTTCTTATGCAGCGCTCTTGGAGTAGGTAAGGTGCTCTGTAAATTCTCATACTAACAATCTATGGTTTCACTTTTCTTGAACTAAGATTGACATAACAAATGCTATTTTTGCTCTAGATATATTCATCAGTGAAAAAAAAATAGTAACGGGAAAAAAATCATTATATGAGTTGAAATTTTTGGTGATTTCTACAATTTTTTCACTCAAATTAGTCTTCACATATGAAAAATAATATCATGTCACATTCTATCTAAAGAATGTCATATCTATGCATTTGTGAAGACATCGTTAATAACACTTTGTGTATACTGTGATTATTTTTTCCAAGTACATAACTTCAGTAAGTATCATGCTGTTTCTTCTGTCTTTATACGACGCGATAAACAAGCAAGAGTGCACCTAGCAAGGTCGAGATAAGATATCACTTTCATTTTTGAAGTGTAAAGACCTCCAGACTCTAGAACTAGAACTGTGCTTGTGCATACATGCTTGATAGTTTAGCTAGAAGAACAATTATATTAGCAATCCAGAACCTCAAGTACTCTTCTACTTTGTTCAAAGTTCTTCAACAATACGTTTAGTAAGCTCCCAAAAAGCTGATCACTTTGTTTTAAACCTACAAGTTATGTAGAGTTATGTAGACAACTGTACCGATATTCAAAGCAAGAAAAAGCGTGCTTGACAAAGCACACTATGCTTTGTCAACCAGGCTGACAGTGCATGTGCGACTCAGTTGTAAGAATACACGCACTTGCTTGACTAGATCAAGTCTTTTAGTGAATTGATTTAATGAAGATAAACTTTGAAATCTTCGTTGTCAGCGTGTATCATCACACTGAAGGCTTGCACAAGAAAGTCAAGATCTACTCTAACCTTCTAAGATCATTTTCCAATCACAGAGTTGGCTTGCACAACAAAGTCAAGATCTACTCTAACCTTCTAAGATCATTTTCCAATCATAGAGTATGGAGGAACACGTTTGTTGTTTTCACATGTTGTCGTTAACTCAATGGCTCACACATTTCAATGACAAGATCTGATTGAAGACGCTGCATGTTTTTTCCACGCCGTACCGATGAAGGGTACGGTCTGTCTTCCCGTGGGTCTTGATGGAGCTAGATTCCCAGTCTTTCTTTACAACTCTACATCCAGTTCTTACACAACTCAGGGTACTTCCATCCGAGATATATCTTCACTATCATGCATTCCATGACATCCCGCGTACACATCTCACCATCTTTGCTACGAAATTGTGTTTTGGATTTCAGATTTACCTGCAAACCTGTAAGCTTGTTCACTCACATTTTATGTTGCACATAAAACTCCGCAATCCGTTAAAGTTTATAATAATTTTGCATTCCAAGAGACGTGAAGTCCCCTTGGCAACACAATCTACAATTTCGCTCGAAAACGGAGTCCTGATTCTCTGAGTTCATTTTGATTCACATGGCTTGTCTCACCTTCCAGTAGGTTCGAGCAGCCTCTTGTTTCCAATTTGCACAATCTTCCTGCGTTCGGGGTGATTGCTCATGGATCCGCGTATGTGCAGAGCTTTGACGATAAATCTTTGTGTCGCTCCTCGTGCACAGAGCAAGAAGTGTGTAACTTCCTGTCTGATCTAGTCAAAACAAAACAATCTAACCAAATGAATATGTGATGGAGAAGAGAATGGAAGGTGCAGTTGCGTCCACTGTCAGTCACGCTGCCCGAGACACGGGGAATGGATTTGCAGACCAGTAACCAGAGACGTCTTACGTGAGAAAGACGAGGAACCGGAGCTTCCGTCCGCTGTCCAGGAACTTATACTACGTCTGGAAGGCAAAGCACAGCCTTTACGGAAGATTCCGTATTTAGAACAGCCAGAAGTTCTGGAGTTCTTTCCGAAGATTGCAGCGATCTCGACGATCGCAGGGTGGCGAAGCGAATTGCGCCTTTCAGTGCTGGAGTCAATCTGCAGCTGCAATACCCTTGGGGTTCTTAACGCGAGAAATATGTGTGGCGGAGATATATCGAGGTTGACGGCTAGCGAGTGGGAGTTACTTTTGAGAGATTGTAGGAGTAGGTGTCATTTTCAGCTAGTATTCGTGTTTAGACAAGAGAGCAATTTAATTTAAAGACAATGCTTCTCCTATATTTCGGGCACAATTTCAGATCTGTGAAGCTCAGACATTCTTATTTCAGGTCAATTTCCTTCTGGCGCTTCTTTGTATTACCAGAAGATTTCACAAGATTCCTTAGGAGTCCTCACTCCAGCTCGAATGCATATTACCGGTAAAACAAATCTTGTGCACAAATCTCTCCCATGATATTCAAACTCGCATCTGCTTATCCATAATTGGACTCCATTTGTAAAATTGTTGATGTGTAATCAGAGTTCCATATTCGTTCCATATTCTTCGTGCTACACCCTGACTACATCCTTTTTGCTGGCCGTGCTCTCAGCACATTTTAGATCGTCAGCAGGCTGAGAACTGTCACGTGGTAGTTTCGTTACGCGGATGCTCTTGCAGTTGTACTGCGTGTGGACGTTGAGCTACAGAGATTCTTGACATGGAGAATAAATCTTCAAATGATGCACGACCTTGTTTTGTGAACATGATGGGGAATGTGATTGATTGCAAGTCATTGACTCGAATATTGAGTTTACACTTGCAGAAGCACGGTTGGATTGCAGCAATTTTGGGCGTTAAGTCTAACAGGATGAGAGATGGAGATGAACACCTACCATTGTCGTTTACGCAATTCTATATAGTACTCCGATATCAGAGACAAGAATTATCATTGTCAATGGGATGAAGTGAAAGGAGAAGGATATCGAATTCCATTCGTTAACACCACATAACATTATATATGTCTGAAAATAGTCCACAGCTTCACTGCGCTGTATAATTAATTTGTCAAACCAGATCTCGGGATGTCTGCATGCTCCGACGTTGTGCAGTGTTGAAGATGTGCAAGCGTGGACTTTAGTAAGCAGGCCTTCGAAAAACGAGTAGGGCATTGCAGCGGCAGGCTCTTGAAGAGATAAACCCTACCAAACTCCTGGGTCAAATGTTTGACCTGTGATTGGGGGCCAGATTTGCATGTTTAGGTTGAGAATGGTGCAGAGAGTTTGTGAGAAAGAGTGTCAAGAGATATAAGACTCTGAATATGGTGAGAGCATCTAGCTACGTTAGTAGCGATTCATCTTTTCTCTACTCTGAAATTTCCTGCAATTTGGGTGAGAGAATGATATCGAAATTGGGTGAACAGATTGATCTCGAGGCTGCAGTAATATAAAACTATAAATTAGTACATGTACTGCAACTGAAATCAGGTGCGAAAAATTCTTCCACCTAACATATTTTGGTAAATTCGCGCTGCGAACTCGATTTACTCTGTCAAGTTTGTGCTTCCTTAACCCCGGAAATGTTTCGGAATGGGCGTGTCTGGCAACTTCGGGCAGGTCTGCAGAAACGGCAGCAGACATGTTTCTGGTGGCGAGATTGGTGATGCGTTGAGCTTGTAACT